AAAGGGTAACCGGGCCGGGCCCCCTCCTCCCCCGGGCCCCCGCCGCCACTCGGCAGGACCCGGGCTGGCCCCGCCGCGGGGCTCCAGGCGCCCCCGGAAAATGCCAGCTCGTCGCCTTCCCCGGCTGCGTTTGACGAGTGGAAAAATGCCAGAGCAGGAAGGCCGGGGCGGGCGGGCGGCGGGAGCGGCTTCCAGGCGAGGGACTCCTCTTGGGAAGCCCGGGCTTGATCTGGGAGCCCCGATGGCACAGCTAGCCCAGCGCGGCCCCTCCAGGCAGCGCAGGGCTCCCGTTAGTCTCTGGTGGCCAGGTGATGGTAGGTCCCATGTGTGCTGCACGGGAGCAGGGTGGGGCTAGGTAAGGACTGGGCTTCGGGACTCATCCTGCATCTCAGCTGCGCCCAAGCCGCCTGCGGACGCGGAGGTTGGTATTGGGAGTTTGCTCCTTGATGACTGGCAGTTCATGTCGGTGTGGATGAAAGATAATATATGATTGTTTGTTCATTTAGCTCCCAGAATAGAAACAACACAGGGAAGTAACTCTCGTGCAGATAGGGTAGCCTCCCTCTTAAGACATTTGTGCCTGTCCTGAAGTCTTTGCACTTAATGTTGCTTTGCATAATGAAATGCAGCATTGGGCCTGGGGACCCTGGATGTCCTTTACAATGCTTACGGTCTGTCACACCCTTCCGGACCATTTGGTAGCGTGTCATCTCCTATGTCTGACAGATGGTCCTTGTTCGTTTGGTACTCGTGTGGTCTGACGCGCGCAATATGTACAGGGGCTACTTTCACAGCCCTGTTTCCCTGAAATTTGCCAGTATCCTCAGTGCACTGTGGTTTTACTAAGATGTCACCAGTATCTTAGTAAAACCATTGTGAATTATCACGGCGGAAGCTTTTAGTAGCTTTTTCATTATTAAATATTTCAGTCAGTAAAGCACAATGTTTTCCAAAAATCCTCATACAGCACCCTCCAGAATGTCAAGACTGCATGTTTAAATGAGTTAAAAAGTGGTAAGGGGCAAGGTGCTTAAAAGAATAGCTCATTATTATACAGGTGCATAACATGTTACTTGAGAAAAACGTAGATTTCTGACTTATCATTGTGTAGGATTTAGTTCAGGGCAAAAATATGGGGTGGGAAGGGGAGTATAGGCAAGTTCTGATACACTTTCCTGCAGAGACACTGGCAGGTGTCACAAATGGGCACAGCCCTGCAGACCTTAAGGAAAAAAGTCAGGCAAAAAGTTCAATTCCAATAGTAAAGAGGGTCCCCCCCAGCTCCTGAGTTAGAAGTGTTTTCTACGGGTTCTTTATTCCCTTATTTGCCTAATATGAGGATACTGACAGTTCTTCTCTGAGGGATCTGTGTAGTTCATTCCCATAACAATTCACCCATATAATGACCAGGATATAACAGTATTTACCATCAGTAAGTATGTGTGCAACCTAGTTGTTTTTACAGTTCCTGAAGGGGGGAGGTAATTCAGTTATAGTATGCTTTCTGGGCCCCATCCTGCAAAAAAACAGTTACTCAAACATGTCATTTTAAGGTTTTGAAGGCTGAGTCCACCTTGTTTTACTTCTCAGTGTCTTGTCATTAGGGAAATGCCTAGACTGTAGATTTTGGCACTTACCAGATCTGACAAAAGCTGCCATTTAAGACAACGTAAGGATTGCTTTGCAGGGTTAATTTTGACTTTTGAAAGTTCTCAAAGAATTAGTGAAAAAAGACTTCAGAGTAATAATATTTACAATTTTTAATAACATTTTTGATAATTTATTTTCTGTAATTTGGGTTCAGAATCAATTATCTAGTTGAAAAATGCCATTCCTAATGCTGAGCAAAATTTTGCTTTCCAGTACATGTGTGCTTTCTTCAGTGGCTTTGCAGAATTTGCATGTGTGCCTTCTAGGAAAAGGTTTGCCTTGTCAAAAAATGGCCATTGTTTGGGGTTTTTTTGGTTACTGAGAAAATTAGTGATGCAGAAACAAACAGCTGAAGTCAGCTTTGCACCCTCAGCTTTGAAATACAAGTGTTGATTGTAGCTGAACACTGAACAAAATAGCCTGTCTCCTTTTTTCACTTCATGTATGTAGCTGAAATTTTTCAGTTCACACACGCACACACCCCCACACACACTGAAGTGCAGATTATGATAGCAATTTGTATATTCACTCACTGTCTCCTTTTTTCACTTGCTTCATGTATGTAGTTGAAATTTTTCAGTTCATATATAGACAGATGGATAGATAGATCGTATATATGAACTGAGGAATTTCAACTACATACGTGAAGCAAGTGACAAAAGGAGACAGTGAGTGAATATACAAAATGCTTTTATATTTTGTATTTGAATAATTTACCACTGGTGTTAGACAACAGGAAAGTGTAGAGTTAACTGCAACATCAAGTTTAGACATTCCATAGTTTAGTCAGTTATTCGGAATATTCTAGTTTTGATGTAGTTCTCTGGGAAGCAGATATTTAACAAAATTATAGCATTTTGCCAAAGGGTCTTATCCATTTAAACACAAAACTAATTGTTAGTTTATGTGGTCATTAGTTCCCCTTCTGCACTTTGTTATTTTAGGCTGACTTTAAGTGACCAAATTGCTTAAGTTAGAAATCTTTAAAAACATGAATGCATAGAAAGTTCAGATACATTAGACAGAGTATTCATTGTTAAATAGACTTAAAGTGAATTTCCTAAAATGTTTTACTGGGAGAAGACACGAGTATTGTTTTTTCTCGATTGTCCATAAGTACAAATATCTTTGGATCTGAGCATTACAGTATAAATCATAAGCAGATGCTTGGATACTTTGTTTTCATTTTTTCTGTAGTTCAGATTCTTAGAAAAAAGTAGGTGTTTATAATTGTGTTTTCTGACATAGATCGTATGTACATGAACACAAGAGTCCCTTGAAAGATTCTCAGTGAAATAGTTGAGTTTAGATATTTTGTTAGTGTTTGGTTATTGTAAATTAATATTGAAAAGCTTTTTAGCTTTGAAAAATATAATGGGGATTCTCTTTGTAGATGCTAGTTTTATATATAAAGTGAATAAAGCTAGGATTTACTGTTAAATTATTTCACGCTAATTATATAGTTTATTGCAGGTTCAAAGTAGTTCATTTCTTTACTATCTTTACCTCACTGTTATACCAGTACATTGGCTGAAAGAAAAGAGGTAAAGACTAAGAGGTCTCTCTGCCTCTAGTAGAGGCTATTTATAGAAAAGCCTCCTTTATATTAGTCTGATCTTAAGACTTCAAGCTTGCTGTTGATCACGTAATTTAGAATTGATGGAATCATGACGCTGTTGGGCAAATGGTATTTTAGCAAAAGCTTGTACCCCTTTTGTTGTCAGATGTATTTGAATCTGTTCCTCTAATGCTCACATTGGTATCATATTGCTATTAGTCGGTCAGAAAACTAATATAAACTGGTAATTCTTACTTCACAATGTATCATTTAACTTGTTCTCATTTTCTGATCCAAATATATACAGCAACATGACAACCAGAAATCTCTAGAAACCTATATGCTCAATGGCATTTAGTTCATCTGGCGGGCCAGATGAGTGGTGCAGGGCCAGAACTTGCAGGTGGGGCCCCCCACGGCTCTGGAAATTTGTCAGCAGGGGAGCAGCAGTTAATGCTGCCACTTCTATCCTGCCACCAAATTTCCAGACCTGTGAGGAGACCCATGGGATGGATGACACAGCTCTGTGGGTCAGAGGTTGAGCAATACTGGGCATGGTTCTCACCATAGCAATTTTAAAATGGGTATCTTACAGTTGTGTAGACTTTTTCAGCCCATAGAGCCTCAAGAACTTTCAAGCTGAGTGTGAATGTTGTAACAATCTTGTCCTGTAATCCTTGAAGAAGTAAAACTGTCACTATCTCTCAGAATTTTCCCCAAGTAATCGTTAAAAGATTAGGCCATGAATGGGATATTATTTCTAATTAGTGTGCCTTTTAAGTAGATTATTTGTAAATTTAATAAATTTTAAAGCAGAAATAAATCACTTGTGATGTGATGCATTTTGGACTAAGTGGCATTAGAGGAAAGGCTCTCTGCACTGATTAGAATTCCAGTATTGTCTCCAAACAAAACTAAAAATGAGACAGACACCTCAAAACTTAAAAAAACATGAAACAGTCGCTAATTAAAACTGTTGATGGTTATTTGCTTCCCTTGGAATAGAACAATGGTGGAAAGTGATAGTTTGATTAATAGCTGATTAGCTGAAAT